TTTTTTTTTTGGTGTAGAAGCTGCTGAATATGAAACTTGATATGATTAAGTCAGTACTAGATCCATAAATTCTTCAAATGCTATTTTTTTGTTCTTTTCAATTATTATCAGCAATTTCTAAAACAAAAAGTAGAAAACAATATTTTTTTTGTGCTTTTTTTTTTTTCTTGAGAGGGTTTTCAAAAAAAAAAAAAATTTGATAAGAAAATGGAAGGAGGGGTTTAAGAAAGTAAGAAGTTCCCAATATGTATCTCTCTGTTGTTTTTTGCTGGCGATGTCTCTCACTGTGTGTGTCTGTTTGTGAATCCGTGTTGGCTGTAAGTTGCCAATTTTTTTTTTTATTGGCAAATAAGGACGTGCAGCAGCAGCAGCAGCAGCAGTCATCATCGGTTAGTCTCAGTCACTTAGTGTGGGGTTGCTGATTTGAGTGTAGTAGGAAGAGGTAAATTAGCGTTGTCAATTGCCATAACCATTACTATCTTTTTTTTTTTTTTTTTTTTTAGTTTTTCTGAACTTTTTTTAACTCTATAGTTATCCTTTTAAGAAAGTTTTAAGGAAATTTTAAACTGGATAATATTTTAAGTTAGCTTCTTTAATATATTACAATAGTCCTAAAGCAAAAAATTAGAAAGGAAAAAAGGGGGACGATGACGACAGGAAAGATGACAAGGTGACGAGAATGAAGAAGGTGGCAGTAAATTTTGTGGTTGTTGTTTAGTTTAATAATACAAAATTAGCTGAATTTAATAACTTTATAAATAATTGTCACAAAGGTCTTTTTTGACTTCAATTTGATCATTTATATGCCAATGTTTAGTTAGTAATCGGTTACTTAACACTGATATCGTTTCTTCTTCATATCTGCTGGTAAAGAAACGCTGTTGTCTTCCTCTTCTGCTTCTTCAAAACTTCATCCTTATTGGCAAAAGAAATGTTATTCATTTAAAAATCTGTAACAATGCTAATCTGTTTTTTTTTCTTGTGAATTGAATGAAACAAAATTGAGCTTTAAAAAAAATTAAAATAATTGGTGTTGGGCGAAAAAATAGTTTTATTATAAATGTTTTAAAATTGTCAATTTAAACGGCCAATACTAAAATCATTTTCTTGATGTATCATTTAGTAATTTTTTTTTAAACACTCACTTCTTTTCTTCTACTTTTTTTCACTCACTTTATCTTAATTGGTTAAATCTCATTGATTAGTGAAATGAAAAAAAATGCTGATTTTGGTGATTTTAGTTGACGATATGCAGATGACTTTAGAAAAAAAAAAAAACCTTGTAATAATGATGCGGAAGAATATACAATTTATCAGTCTTAACAACCGGAAAAAACGGTACGCTTGGGTGATTATAGATGACTTTTGTTGGCTAATTAGTGTGAAAGTTAGCCAATTAGTTAGGTGTACAAAGTATTATTATGGGGTTGCTTAGTGGGTTTACTCGCAGTCATTTTTTTCTTTTTTTTTTCTGGAAGCTTAATATACTATCTGTTGTGAAAGTTTCTTCAACTCAAAATCTTTGCTGCTAAAATTTTCTAGCTGCTATTTCAGCCTAAACTAAAGTCTTTTTTTCAAAATTTTTTTTAATGCTTTTTTTTCTCATATATCACTGATCTTTTCTACGTCTGTA